TTTCAAACATCCAAAGAATTTGTGACACACCATGAATTTGCCATGCCTCACAATTTTCTAAAGTTCACCCAGCTTATAAACAATTTGTTAAAACAAGATTATTTCATTTGTTACATTGATTTCCAGCTTGATAATTAGATATCCAAATGTAAACCCTTATTGTTTTTTACCAAGATAAATGTCAAATGCCAGCAATTAAAGAGAACCAGAATGCCCCACCAACTATAATATCAATACGCAAATCTGTCCCACCCACCCACCCAGCCACTATAAACATAAAGATGTGCAGTGTATCCACCCACTGTAAAAAATAAATATGTGCACCTTGCCCCACCCACTATAACATTACAACTGGGTCACTTTACCTGTCCTCTGAGTACAGACCACGATGTTTACAAAATGACGTAGTCAAAGCGTACCATCAGCGCTCGTCACATGGCATTTAAAGCTCTCTGATGTAATGTTTCCCTGAGAATATAAGACAATCTCCGATGTAATGTTTCCCTGAGGATATAAAACAATCACTGATGTAATTTTTACCCTACTGGTATTAAACTAAATCCCTGATGTAATGTTTACCCCTACTGGTATTAAACTAAATCTCCGATGTAATGTTTACCCTGAGGATATAAAACCATCCCTGATGTAATGTTTACACTATTGAAACTACACTTAAAATCTTTTTATTTACACCATTAAGTTCAATATTTAACAAATGAAATATTTTGTTTTAAAACTGGCATATTTTAAAAACATAAATCGCATGAAAATATTAAATTGCTTAATATTTAGATTTGCCGCTGCTTGCTTTATATATATATCATCGTGAAGATCAACAAGCCCCTTTTTCATGTGTACGCTTAGTTTATTATTACTTCCCCTTTAAGTAAGAATTATTTACAAATATCAAGTTAGTGCAACTTTTAATACGCCATTGCTGCACTTGTTGAGGGAGTGAATTTTCGTTTGTTCTGCAGAATGCTTGTTTCGTTGTTGTTTCTGAAGGTTTAATGGGTCGTTGTTTATGCTGGTTTAATGGTTCGTTGTTTATGCTGGTTTACTGGTTCGTTGTTTCTGCAGGTTTCATTGTTTATACTGTTTTCATGATTTTCGACTGATTCAATGTTTTTTTTTCTGCTGCCTGTTAATCTTTTTGTCTATCAATGACCAGGTTATATTTTATATCTGGAGATTTGATTTTTAAAGAATTTTAACTGTATGCTAAACTATGCTTGTACAGCACAAATGTATGATTTTAGGTTTTACTGATTAAACACATTTTCTACAATCATGACTTTATTCAGTTTATTTGCCTTTTAATGTGTTTAGTATCTCTTTCATTATTTAACCCAAGTTAGTATATGAACAACCAATAATTTAATGTAACCTATAATTGCATATGTTTCAAGAGTTTCACACTAGACTATATTTTAATAGTAAGGTTGAATGCGGCTTGCATAGAGGATATAATCTATTTATTACTACACATTTAAAGAATTCTGCTCAATATTTCATTATAAACACATACAGTAAATGAGAAATATATAAATCCATAATAAGGGAAGTAATTTTGCATTTTTTTCTTGCATCGCTGTAATGTAATTGTTGCCTCCCTTTGACCGTTGCAGAAAAAAATCACAAGCCAGTGAAAAAAAAAAAAAGCACGAATCTAGAAATTAAATTAAAATGTCAAATAGTATAGATAATTTCAGATGTGTTCAGTATATCACACAGGGTTTAACGAGTAAGTTATTTAAAGTGACCGAAAGAGTAAGCGAATGATTTAAAACTACATCACCCACACTTCAGCCTGCGTCTTCAAGAAGCTCAAATCGTCTTAATTCAAAAGAATATACATTTTTTAAAAACCGTATTATGGCTTGACATTTGCCTTTTTTATAATTTTATAATCACTCCTTTGTGGCCCCTGGGGAGCAAAGGGCTGCAACCACACATCTCCACGTGTTACCTATTAATAATTTTTTCAAATTAAAATAGGTAACATAAATAAAGGGGACATTTTGGGGAGAGAAATGGATTAACTACGTTCTATATAATTTCAATGGAGAGAATACTTTTGAGGTGCGAACAATTTGACACAAAAGTAATGTAACGGCACGAATTAGATTCGTATCTTGACGTTGCATTTTATTTTAAATATAAACTGTTCATTCAGAGGAAGTAACCCATAGTTTTTGTGTATCGCAGTAATTTCTTGTTTGTCCTCTTTGACCATTGATTCTACCACAGAGAATTAAACGAAAGGAATGGTATTACAATTTTAATAGTGATAAAAAGCGGGTACAATTAAAGTCAAGAAGTTCACTATACCCTAACTCAGGAGTTCCCAACCTTTTTTTTACTCTAGAGCACATTCTAAAAATATCGGTAGGGTGGCGGGCACCACCTATTTTAAATCGACAAACTCCTTCCAGAGGCGTAGCGACCCTTCCTGTCACCAGGGGACAAAACTTTCGATTTGCACCCCCCCGTCAAACTTTCGATTTGCACCCCCTTCAAACTTTCGATTTGCACCCCCTCAAACTTTCGATTTCTATCCCCTTCAACCATTCAATAATGTTTATGAAAAAAATTCTGTCTCTGTCGAATAGTGAGAGGCGGGCTCATACGAATAGTTCGGCGGGCGCCATGGCGCCCGCGGGCACGGGGTTGGGAACCCCTGCCCTAACATATACCTCCTTCCCCAATTATTCAGAGTAGTCTTTGAACAACAGTCAAACTCAAAGTCCACATCAGACATGTATTCACGTGGGACGGGACTAGGGGCCACTTTAACTCCTGAAAATGCGCTCTTAAAATTTCTGGAAGCGCTGGTCGGACACATATTGAATTCTGTATGTAAAATCTTCAAAGGTTATCCGCCTACGTAAAAAATAAACAGAAACTTAAATCAATTTTTAAGTACACACATCCCCTATATAAAAACTTTATTTTTTAAATGCGTATGTCACAAATGAAGCATTTGTTCCATGTCTAACTGTGTGGTAACCCAATGTGGTTGTGTGGTAACCCACATGTCAGATTGTGTGGTAACCCAATGTGGTTGTGTGGTAACCCACATGTCAGATTGTGTGGTAACCCAATGTGGTTGTGTGGTAACCCACATGTCAGATTGTGTGGTAACCCAATGTGGTTGTGTGGTAACCCACACGTCAGATTGTGTGGTAACCCAATGTGGTTGTGTGGTAACCCACATGTCAGATTGTGTGGTAACCCAATGTGGTTGTGTGGTAACCCACATGTCAGATTGTGTGGTAACCCAATGTGGTTGTGTGGTACCCACATGTAAGATTGTGTGGTAACCCAATGTGGTTGTGCGGTAACCCACACGTCAGATTGTGTGGTAACCCAATGTGGTTGTGTGGTAACCCACATGTCAGATTGTGTGGTAACCCAATGTGGTTGTGTGGTAACCCACATGTCAGATTGTGTGGTAACCCAATGTGGTTGTGTGGTAACCCACATGTCAGATTGTGTGGTAACCCAATGTGGTTGTGTGGTAACCCACATGTCAGATTGTTTGGTAACCCAATGTGGTTGTGTGGTAACCCACATGTCAGATTGTGTGGTAACCCAATGTGGTTGTGTGGTAACCCACATGTCAGATTGTGTGGTAACCCAATGTGGTTGTGTGGTAACCCACATGTCAGATTGTGTGGTAACCCAATGTGGTTGTGTGGTAACCCACATGTCAGATTGTGTGGTAACCCAATGTGGTTGTGTGGTAACCCACATGTCAGATTGTGTGGTAACCCAATGTGGTTGTGTGGTAATCCACATGTCAGATTGTGTGGTAACCCAATGTGGTTGTGTGGTAACCCACACGTCAGATTGTGTGGTAACCCAATGTGGTTGTGTGGTAACCCACATGTCAGATTGTGTGGTAACCCAATGTGGTTGTGTGGTAACCCACATGTCAGATTGTGTGGTAACCCAATGTGGTTGTGTGGTACCCACATGTAAGATTGTGTGGTAACCCAATGTGGTTGTGTGGTAACCCACATGTAAGATTGTGTGGTAACCCATTATGGTTGTGCGGTAACCCACATGTGTGGTTGTGTGGTAACCCAAATGTCTGATAGTGTGATAACCACCATGTGTGGTTGTGTGGTAACCCGCATGTGTGGTTGTGTGGTAACCCACATGTCTGACAGTGTGATAACCACCATGTGTGGTTGTATGGTAACCCGCATGTGTGGTTGTGTGGTAACCCAATGTGGTTGTGTGGTAACCCAAATGTGGTTGTGTGGTAACCCACAAGTGTGGTTGTGTTATAACCCATATGTCAGATAGTGTGATAACCACCATGTGTGGTTGTGTGGTAACCCACATGTGCGGTAACCCACATGTGCGGTAACCCACAGGGCTGACTGAACGCTACACGTCGTTACTCTGTAATGTTTAACATTAGAACCAACATTGCTTTGATAGTGAGTGTAAAAGCTACATCAGTGTTTCTTCCAAGCATCTCTTCGATTGGGGGGGGGGGAGGATTTAAAGCCTCCCCCACCCCGTAGCAAAACGTCTTGACGAAATACTGACACAAACAGCTATAATATGATGATTTTGTTGTTAAAAACTTTTATAAATTGTTCAACATAGGTATACAAAGATTTTTATGTGGCTAATATAACAGGATTTAATATTGTATAATTTTGGCATCAATATATTTTTTTACTACAAGCACTTAAATAGAATGTAGGTGTTTATCACATTGAAAGTGTGATATTTCAATGAAATTATAAGGGATTTAAATGTATAGCGTCCTTTACTTTCCTAAAGTGTGTTCTGCTTCCTTGCAAACTTATTTTACACACACACACACACATATATTATTTTTTCGTTGAAATTCGGACAAATAAAAAAGATTTCATTAAAAACTTTTTAAATCACAGACTAACCACGCCCTTATATAGTCAACGTGTAACGACCTAGAATTCTTTCACCAATTGATTTAATTAACAGCTGACACCGGGACAGATAATACTAGCGGAAATACACAACTACGGCAGCCATGTTTACATCGACGTGTCAACGGTTGTAAAGCTGCTGCTAGTGTTTAGGCAAGTTCGTTTATTCAAATTGGCGAAAGGTTTGTTAACTTTTTTTTTTTAAATTTGTTTCTCACTGTGCGTATCTATGACTGTTTTTTAAATTATACACAACAACCCATTAATGACATTTAATATGAGAGAATTAAAGGGAAAAGAAATGTAACACGATTTTTTTTTATTAATAGTCAATCTAAAATTGTAGTTTTTTTTTTCTCGGGCAGAGTTTCATCCGTACATCTCTTCGAATGGGGGGTGAGGGGGGGGGGGGTTGTTAGAAAGAAGCTCCGACCCATTTCCCACCCCTGAAAATAGTTTTCCCCCACCCCCTCAGCGAATTGGAATTTATATAGAAAACATATACTTTCACCAGCCCCCCACCCCCAGCCCCCCAGAAAAAAAAGTCTGGAAAAAACACTTCGATAGATGGGTTGAATGTAGATGAAGGGTGGGTGTGGGAGTAAATATATATATATATATATATATATATATATATATACATACATAATTATATATATACAGGGATGGTTAAGGGTAGGTAATCAAATAATATACCGGTCTTAACTCATTTTTGAAAAAAATGTAACTTAAGTACTTTTTCCACTGAGCCCTTCATATATATATATATATATATATATATATATATATATATATATATATATATATATATATATATATATATATATATATATATATATATATATATATATATATATATATATATATATATATATACATACATATATATGTATATATATATATATATATATATATATATATATATATATATATATATATATATATATATATATATATATATATATATATATGTGTATATATATATATAAATATATATGTGTGTGTGTTCATTTATTTTCTGGATTTGAAAACTCTTTTACCTTTTTATATCATTTTTGTTTTGTTTACGTTTTCGTTCTGCGTATGCATTATGTGCTGCTCCGTCGTGCCAAAAAAAAAATGTTAATCTTAATTTTTTAATCATTATGGTAAAATATTGTTTAGGGCACAACCATGGTAAAACTGAACTGTTTGCTGCTTTCTCTTCTGGCTTCTGCCTTGTATTTTGATTTCTCGGACTGTAGAGTGAGAAAGAAAGGTAGAAAAGAACGGCGTAGGCCTAAAGTACACCAATCCAAAGTAAGTCATAAAAAATGCAAATACTATCTCATTTGTTTACACACAATTATTGTTACACATCCGTTTTTTGTTTCAAATTAAAAGACAATGGTCATTATCAAGAATAAGCACTACTTTTTTTAAAAAAAAACTGATCTTTAAATTTCGTAAGCCATACGCAAAAAAGGTAGTTATTTTACTGTAGGTTATTGTTTATAGTATTCCACATTCATGGAGAGTATTATGTATAAAAAATATCTGCTTCACACTCATAATTACAAAGTTCTTTATGTTAATTAACTTGTAAGAACTGGTACTTCGACTATTTTTGTTATCTGGCTTGAAATGACAGGATAACAAAAATCAAAGCCAATTTGATATTCTTACATGAAACATCGGTCTTATCTGTTTGACAATGTGAAGCAGTGGCGTATCCAGGATCGTCTCAAGGGGGGGGGGGGGGGGGTTCCAATTTTAACCCGGGGACAAGCTTTCGATTTGCACCCCACCCCCCTCATACTTTACATATATATACCTAAGGGGTCTATTGGGGGCTTGGCCCCCCTACTAACCCCCCCCCCCCCCCTGCCTACGCCACTGATGTGAAGCGTGCATCCATTAACTAGTATTTTAGCAAATATTTTTGTATTTATTACCAGGCTATTTAGGCACCCAATTAAATCAAATGTGTTGCCAAATTGCATTGTAATTGGTCTTTTTCGATAGCCTAAGAAAGGAATCGGTCTGTCAGTTGGTCGAAATGTATCATACATCTTTATACCCAAAAGACAAAAGTACGACACAGTAATTATATTGAAAGAAAAATCAATGCTTATTAATTTGGGTGAAATTAAAACCACTCGTTATAGCCAAGTTAAATCTGTTACATTATGTTTCATATTTTACAGTATGGCGATTCTTATATTGGTAAATTGGACATGTACACTGGTAAAGAGATTATTATTGAAGGATCGATGGAGTTAAACTCCGATGGGTAAAAACAATTCAAACATAACTCATAACTATATATATACATATATATATATATATATATATATATATATATATATATATATATATATATATATATATATATATATGTTTATATATATATATATATATATATATATATATATATATATATATATATATATATATATATATATATATATATATATAATATATATATGTTTATATATATATATATATATATATATATATATATATATATATATATATATATATATATATATATATATATATATATATATATATATATATAATTGTTGCACTGGAAAATATTCCACCGCTAGGTACGATGTTGTGTTTAGCAGTGACTTAACATGCAAAGAGAAAGGTCAACAGCCGCTTACAATCTATGTCAAACGAAAGCAGAATAAAGTCTTATGCAACACCAGACTTTCAGGCGTATTACAGCGATCCCCAGTAACGTGTTTCAGAACAAATACCCATTCCGCGTTTTTTCAAGCACTCAAACAGTTCACTTTGAAAATCATTTTTTATACTAATGAACGTATAGAGGTTGGATTTGTTACAATAATGTTGGCTTTGTATTTTTTTTTTGGTTTGTTTCTGAAGCATTTGTCTGTCATTTTGCTAAGTTTTGTATCTTATACATTTTTTTTGTGCTTATAGGAAATTTTATTTATTAAATTT